TTTTCTTTTCTTTTTTTTTTTTTTTTGAGATAAGAATCTCATTATGTCACCCTCAGTAGAGTACAGTGGTGTCACAGCTCACGGCAACCTCAAACTCTTAGGCTTAAGCAATTCTCTTGCCTCAGCCTCCTAGTAGCTAGGACTATAGGCGCCTGCCAGAATGCCTGGCTATTTTGTTGTTGTCATTGTTGCAGTTATCATTGTTGCTTTAGCAGGCCCGGGCCAGGTTCAAACCTGCCAGCCTCAAATGTATGTGGCCAGTACCCCTACCCAATGAGCTTCGTGCACTGCCGCACACATTCACTCTTAGAGAATCCAAGAGAGTAAGCAATACAGGTTCTAGGCTGATGCTAGGCACATAGCAGGTGCTGCAGTGTCTTTTTCCAGTCCCCCCTGCAACTATGAGGTTCAGTGGGTAGGGTCTGATTTGACCAGCCATGTCTTGAAACTGGACTCCATAACCCCTGTGTGGATGAGAAGCAGCTGTATTCAAACACCTTGTCCCTCTGCGTGATTGTCTCAGTCATCTCCTCTGTGGAGTGGGGCTGCCCCATCTCTCTCATCCCCACCAAGATGCTATAAGGTCACAGGTGGAGCCGGCAAGAACAAAGGCCCTGGAAAGCACTGAGTAGGCCTCTTGGTTAAAAGGGTGTCCTGGGTTCTCCCACCCATACCCACCTTTGCCCATCAGGCCATGAGCCAGCTCTTGGTGCAGGAATGCAGAGCAGACTGCAGTTACCCATTCTCATGAAGTGCTGGGGCTGCAGAAATGTCACTTGGGGCCTCAGGGCAAGACTTCCTAGTGCAAATAGAACGGTCTGTATGAGCCATGGCTTCTGCGGGACTCACGGGGGCCCCCAAAGCCACTTTCCACCCTTGAGGTGTCTCAGCCTACTCTTGACCTTTCTAGGTCTTGCTCCTAGAAGCCCAAGTGCAGCTCCAATTGGGGTCTGTAGACCGGCCTCTCCTGGGCCATGGTATTGCTCCCAACACTGGGCAGTAGACCAACCTCAGTCCCACAGACAACCATCTGGTCCTGTCCCATGTCCTGAGAGCCCATACGATCCACGGGTATGGGGTTAGGGTAGAGTCCTCTCCCAGGAAGGTGGGTACTCCCAGGACAAAAGGACAGAAGGGTGGCTGAGTTGGAGCTGGCCTATTCCTGAGGGGAGCCTATCTGCTGGTGGGAGCTTCAGGGTGGCCACCTGCCCCCTGCAGGTGAAGAGTGTGAAGCCCTGCCTGAAGCAGCTGCAGCAGTGCATCCAGACCATCTCCACGCTGCATGATGATGAGATCCTGCCCAGCAACCCTGCTGACCTCTTCCATTGGCTGCCCAAGGAGCACATGTGTGTGCTTGTCTACCTGGTGCGTCCCTCCTAGGGCCTGAGGTCAGGGTGGGCAGGTGGAAAAAGGGCCCCAGTAACCATTGCTGTCTGGTCTTGTCACCAGGTGACTGTGATGCACTCCATGCAGGCTGGCTACCTGGAAAAGGCACAGAAGTACACTGACAAGGCCCTCATGCAGCTGGAGAAGCTCAAGAGTAAGTCAAATGTTTGGCCATCTGTGTCATCACAGTGCCCCCTGGTGGACAGCCCAGCCAGACACTGCCTATGCTGGGGCTGAATGACTGACTGCATGCATTACCTGAATGGTCCCTGCCTCGGGGGAGTGTTATCCCCAGTAGGTAGATGCTAGTGGCTGGGCAGGATTGGAGTAGTATAGGTCAGGCCTGAGGTTTGGGGTATACCCCTAACTGGCCAGGGCCCAGGTGATCAGGTGAATCAAGCAGCTGCTTTTGCCAGTTATTATCAGTATTGTGAAGGGGATATACTCAAGGTGAGGCTGTGATTGGAACTCGCCCCTCATTTACAAAAGGTCCTTTGGAGGTCATGGGTTCTTTTCAACCACTTGCCTATTTAATCCATCCTGTGGGACCAAGCTACCTGGGCACAAACCCAGAGCCCCGCGCATTCTGGCTGATTCAGTGTCACTATTAATGTGTCCATGTGCTCCCTCATGAGGGCTACTGGGGAGAAGTCATCAATCAGAACCAGTAAACCAAAGACTGAGGGGCCAGTCTTCTCTTTCTCTGTGGTAAAGATCCATGCTGTGTGGTTCTGACATGAGGATAGCTGTTCAGGGCTTCCAAGAACTGGGGCCCCACCCAGGGTCCCCCAGCCATTCTTCTTAAGGCCCTGTGATCCAGGACAACTTCCACATTTCTAGAACTTACCATGCCTAAGTGCTCTTGAGCATTTAGTGGGGTGAAGATCAAAGATAAATCCCTGGGTTCCTTACTTTTAGAACACTTTGGGAATCAATCCCTGATTTCAGCTCTGTTCACCTGGACCCAGAGATGAGCTCCCTCGCACCGAGGGTGCAATAGGGTAGGTGCCAGGTCAGTCTGGCAGGAGACAAGGACAGAGGTGGGGGATAAGGTGGGGCTGGGGTCAGTACCTCCTTTGGTTTCTCCTGCATGCTCACCCACAAATCTCTTCCACAGTGCTCGACTGCAGCCCCATTCTGTCCTCCTTCCAAGTGATCCTTCTAGAGCACATCATCATGTGCCGGCTCGTCACAGGGCACAAGGCCACAGCACTGCAAGAGGTAGGGCTAGCAGGAGCTGCATAGACATCACATGTTGGCAAGATATCCTGTCATACCATCTCGCAGTCACTCAGCAGTTCACAACCCTACACAGGCATAACTGATTAGAGAATCTGTTATAAAAACCAATAAGCCCTTTTCCAAAAGCTGGCATGCCCAGGGAATGCTGCATGTGATGTTGTGGGATTTGGGATCCTCTGATGATGATCCTCTTACCTCTTATTCTGTCCTGCCCTAGGGTTTGTAAGCTCAGGTGTCTACCCTGCTAAGAGGGCATGGGAGCTGTGAGTAGGCCAGTAGCTCCTTATAGCAAAGACATACATTGGAAAGGGCAGAGAAGGCAGGTACTGGACAAGGGCCCCCATCCATAATAGGATTAGGACCCTATTTTACCAATAAGGCCAGGACTTTGTACTTCAGTTTGGGAAGGCAGGACATGAGCACACCTGCCAGCTGTGGGATCTCCCCAGTGCTGCTTAACATCAGGTCCCTAGCTACCGGCTGTGTGACATCAGGCATGCTCTCTTCCTGCAGATCTCCCAGGTCTGCCAACTGTGCCAGCAGTCTCCCCGGCTCTTCTCCAACCACGCAGCACAGCTGCACACACTGCTGGTGAGTAACCCCATGACAATACCATAGGCAGAATCTGGAGCATTCCTAGTAAAATACCCTATGACAGCACCTTAGGATTCAGAATGTTTCCAGTGAAGAACCTCCATTAAATTATCAAACAACCACTCACCAGGCAGGATCCTGAGTGTTCCCACTGAGCTTTCCTATGACAAGTATTCCATTGAGTTCTGAGCTTAGGTCTGGGGAGGTGGGAATTATCAGGCACTTTATCTTTTTTAGTAGCTATCTCAGGAGAGTCACTTGCCATGATCAACCAGGTGCAGCCATGTCACCCTGGCCATGCTATGTGTGGCATGGATTTGAGCCCTCAGTGGAAGGGCCCCCAGGGCCCACCATGAGTGACAGCCCCTTCTTCCAGGGCCTGTATTGTGTCTCTGTCAACTGTATGGACAACGCAGAAGCCCAGTTCACCACAGCCCTGCGGGTAAGGTGCCGGCCCCCTTCACTCCTGGGGCGGGCGACACTCCCGAGTAAGGATTCGGGGACAGTCTGTGATGAGGACAGCAGCCACATTAGGTCAGCTACTCAAAGCTGTGGTCCAAGAGAGCAGCTCCACAACAGTTAGACTAATTCCGGCATAACAGTGATGTGCTGTTGATCCAGATAAAGGACAGCTGTGGGGCAAGGGGGGGCTCCTGGCCAGTGAGCACCCTTTGACCGTTGAATGGGGCAGTCTCCCATCTGCTTCTCTGGGGTGTTCCACATGTCTGTGGGCGCTGCCTCCTCTGTTGCTGACCTCAGAGATGCACATGCCTTGTAAATAGCATGCCCAGCATGCTACCTCAGTGTCTGCTCCTCTGCCCCCACCCCTTATTCCCTGGGTCCTGGTTGGGTCCTTCCATAGCAGTACCAGGACCCCTCCAAGTCTTGCCACGTCCTCCCCATCTACTTCCCATAAATGGTTGCTGCTGCTGCTGCTGCTGCTGATTTTTTCAACAGTAAAATTTCCAAAGCCACATACCCCAAGGAATCCTCCCCAGCAGGCAGAAGGGAGCTTCACTTCTATAACCCACCCAGGAAGCAATGAAGCCAGAGTACAAATCTGAACTCACCTGACTCAAAATGTGTAGTACTCCTGTGGTCCCACAACAAATGTCCTCACCATTGCTACATCTCTGAGCATCTTTGCTTGGTTCAGAGGAGCCTTTGGGCTTCCTCGGCCCATGCCAGGTTCTCAGGTAGCGTCTGTACCTCCTGGACTCCCTCAGCCTCTTGCCCAGCCTTACTGAGAACCAGGATTGAGGCTGTGCTTGAACAGCTTAGATTGGTGCCTCTCTTGACTGTTATTATTCATGACCACAGTCCATATATCACTGGTCATTGACAGCATTTCTGGGCTCTGATACAGGGTAACCTACCTTGAGGGCAGGACCTGTGCCCACTAGAGTGACAGTTCCCCACTTTGCACCCCCAGCCCAGGAAGAATGATCCTCACAGGACTGGCCTCCATCTCTTTTGTACATGTGTATCTGAGTCCCAGAGGTTACTGGCTATGGCATAGAGGAAGGGCTATCAGGTCTCAGTCTTGAGAGACTGCAGAAAATAGACCCCAAAATAGCACATTCTGAGGGTGGGCTGAGGAGGGGCTGGTTACCCTTTTCTCTGTTTTGTGGTTTGTTTTGTTTTTTTGAGACAGAGTCTCATTTTGTTGCCCTCGGTAGAGTGCTGTGGTGTCACAGCTCATAGTAACCTCAAACTCTTGGGCTTAAGCCATTCTCTTGCCTCAGCCTCCCAAGTAACTGGGACTATAGGCGCCCACCACAACACCTGCCTATTTTTTGTTGCAGTTATCATTGTTGTTTAGCTGGCCTGGGCCGGGTTTGAACCCACCAGCCTTGGTGTATGTGGCTGGCTACAGATGCCAAGCCCTTTTCTATTTTCTAACTGTTCTATAAAGTGGATGATGGTTTTGTGATGGAAAGAATTAACAGTTGTGGCTCAGCGCCTGTGGCTCAAGTGGCTAAGGCGCCAGCCACATACACCTAAGGTGGCAGGTTTGAATCCAGCCCAGGCCTGCCAAACAACGACAGCTGCAACCCAAAAAAAATAGCCGGGCACTGTGGCGGGCACCTGTGGTCCCAGCTACTTGGGAGGCTGAGGCAGGAGACTCGCTAGAGCCCAGGAGTTGGAGGTTGCTGTGAGCTGTGATGCCATGGCACTCTACCCAGGGCGACAGCTTGAGGCTCTGTCTCAAAAAACAAACAAGAAAAAGAATTAACAGTTGTGTTACCCTTGGGTTTAGGAGGTAAGTAGGATATGTCTGAAATAAAAAGAACAAATCATTTCCAAAGTAGCTTCCATGGAGCTTTTAGGTGGCTCTGACACCACCAAGGCAACCCAGTGTGATGTGGCTTCCTAATGTTCCTGTCTCCCTTCCAGCTCACCAACCACCAGGAACTATGGGCCTTCATCGTGACCAACCTGGCGAGTGTGTATATACGGGAAGGAAATAGACACCAAGAGGTAGTAGGTGACATGCTTCATGTTTGGTATCTTTTCTCTCCATTTTCCTTTTATTTGGGGTTAGGTGGGGGCTGTCTTGGGCACAAGGATATCTTAGCAAACCCTAGCACATTCACCCTTTGACAAGGGGGTTGGTACCCCACACAGAAGCACACGTAACGAAGGCCTGGAGGTGTATCAGCAGGCAAGGCTAGGAAGAGGCTAGATCTGGGGCAAAAACATTCCCACAGCCATAGACTACTCCTCCCTATTGAACAGGAGCCAAACTTTACTGAATCCCACTGAAGAAAATCCATTATCTTGTAGCCTGAGTTCTCTGTTCTAGACCATTGGCCAGCCCTTGGGTTTAGTCTTGAGGGGCAGTCAAATGTACTTTGCCCCTGGGTTGTCCTTATGCCACTCTCGGGGCTGAGGATGACCAGGGCTGTTCTCACAGGCCATATGTCCTGAACTTGGCTCTTGAGTTGACATTTGCAGAACAGTCAAGATCCTCCTGCATTCCTCCTCAGCCCTGGGATCCTCTCCCCAGACCTGGGAGTCAGCCTCCACCTACACAGCCTATATTCTAGTTTAGTCGCCCTTTGGCTCTTGTTTAACCCCCAGACTCCTCCTGGGAGGTGACTTGGATACACAGAGAAATCCATGCTCCCAGGGCCTACGTGGACCAGCCTGCCATCCTTCCTACCTACTTGCCAGTGCCCCATCACCTGCTGTAGGGCCGAGTATCACAAGGCAGGGTAGGCTAAGGATGTGAGGACCCCACCCTAGGCTCTTCACACCACAGGGTGCTCTTGCTGGCCAGTCACTGGGCCTTAGTGTCCATGGAGGCCCCATGGGGGTAAAGAAAGCCCTATACTGAGATCCATCCCCCAGGCAACCCACTCCCTCTCCCAGCAGGGGTGGGCTGAGCCCAGGGAGTGGGATTTGGGTCCTCAGACTAAGTCTCGGAGTTGCAGGCAGCCTTAGGTACCTCAGCTGTAGCACGTTACAGCCAACCTTTCATCTATATGAAGCAGCATGGTCCTAACTAACATTTTCTCCCCACAGCTGTATAGTTTGTTGGAGAGGATAAACCCAGACCACAGCTTCCCTGTCAGGTGAGCAACCGTAGGTGCCATTCATGGACCATCTCAAGCTCCCTCTGCTCTGTGGGTGACATGAACTCCTGTGGGGCCCAAGACCCCCCTCTTTCCTCCTCTCCTCCCAGATATTCTACAGTGGGGGCTTTCAGAGATTTGTCCACATACGGTCTTTTTGTAAACTTTCTTCTTTCTCAAAAACCCAACCCTGACATGAGCCTCCACTGTCTACCCCAGCTCACACTGCCTCCGAGCAGCAGCTTTCTACGTTCGAGGGCTCTTCTCCTTCTTCCAGGGACGCTACAATGAAGCCAAGTGAGTGTTGGGCAGAGGGCAGCAGATGGGCAGATCGTCCTCAGGGTTGCTCTGTCTATCCCACAGCCAGGACATCAGTGTCTATGTTCATGTGTAGACGATTTCTACGAGAAACTCTGAAGATGTCCAATGCGGAGGACCTGAACCGGCTCACAGCTTGCTCCCTCGTTCTCCTGGGCCACATCTTCTATGTGCTAGGGAACCACAGGGTAAGTGCCTGGACCTGGGCTTCCTCCCTTGGCGGCTGCTTGGCTTGACCTGGGAGGCCATGGGCAGAGAGCTTGGCACCCATGGGGGTGCAAGTATAGGGCAGATGATAGGCCCAAGGGATGCTTGCCCCAACATTGGTCTGGCATGGCCAGGGCTCAGTGGAGCCTGAGCCAGTGGGTCTGCCCTAACCTGGTGGGGATAACAGCAGATCATCCCCTTCCCACATGTTCCATCTCTGCCTGGCACACACAGGCAGCTGGTCCTGTGAGGGCTAGTCCTCTCCAGGCCAGCCGGTTTCTCCTGGTATTGGCAATAAATAAAAGAACATATCTTCCCATATTATGATATATGACATGTTCACAATAAAAAGGCTGAGAGGGGCTCGGCGCCTGTGGCTCAAGCGGCTAAGGC